TTTTAATTTTATTTAAAAAATTATAAAAACTTTTTAAAATTCCAGGCAAATTTGCCTGGAATACGGTTTAAGAGATAATGTTAAAGTAGGCTATAATATTAGCAAAATAATGGGGGTCTGTTGAAGTAGAAAAAGTATATTGTAATGCATTTTTGAGATTAAAGTTGATTATGTTATCATTAATAGCAGCTTGGTTAAAAAATTTTTAAGAAAAAATATAAAAGAAGAAAGTTTTATATTTAGAATTAGTTGTAGTATTATTAAATTGTTGTCCTGTTTTATGAGCTAATTCTTTAAGAGATTTAAAAGAAAAAGGTTTAGAAAAAGTAGCAGGTAATGATTAATTTGGTTCAAAAATAAAAAAGTCTAAGTTTGGTTATAAAATAGTTGGGAATTGTAAAAAAGATTGTTTAAAAAAAAAGCATGTTAGATTATAATAAGTATATATAGTATTGTTAGAAAGAATATTGCAAGTAGGATTAGTACAATATAAATGATATAAGACAGCTTTAATTGATATATCAATATATTCTTGTAATAAGTTAATTGCAAAGATGTTACCCAAGTCAGTTGACTCATATGGGTTGACCTGACTTGACGGGTTATATGGATTACGGGTCAAAAATTGGCCTAATCTGAGTCAAATATCATAGCATCAAAATGTAACTATTGACCAATTAAATTAAACTAATTCTCAAGCGAAATTTACATAGTATCGTATTAATTAAAATATTAAACCCTCACTTATAAGTGACGTTATTCGGGTAATTGATTATTTTGATTATTTTGTGTAGTGAATATTGATATTCTTTCGATTTTTGTTTATAATTTAAACATATAAATAAATTACCACCAATTATACAAATGTCTTTCTATGAGGTCATTAATATATTAGACTAAACTGTTACTAATATGTCATTAGTATATATTAATTTGCACAATAAATTAACATTTTATATAATCTCTAATTATTTAAATTCAATATCGACTTACAAATGCATATGAGTATAAGGAATAAATCCATTATTTAAATTATTAAAAATATTTTCTATTAATTCAGTTATATCATTATAAAAATTTTTGATGTCGTGAATAACTTTTGTGTATATCATCCTACACGAAACTCATTTTAATCGTATAATAGTTAATATAAATACCAATTCATATTTAATCAGGTGGTCTTTAAATTATCTTTATTATACCAATTCGCAAAAGATGATACTTTTATTTTTTATTATTATTATTGCCACATTTAAATTTTTATTAAATCAAAATTTAATAAAAATTTATCTATTTGAAAACATGTGAAATCGGTCAAAGTTTTAGTGCCACTTTAAGATACAAAATTGTTCTAACAAATTGATGATCAAGGTTTGTTCGCTTTTCAGTAATGGTAAGACCTGTGGCTGAAAAAAGGCGCTTAGATGGTACGGATGTTGCTGGAATTGATAGATACTTGCGAGCTAATTTTGCAAGTACTGAATATTTAGCTTTTTTTAATGCCTACTATTGAAGTATATTTGTTTTGCTTGGGGCCCTTGGTAATAGTAAGTATGAATCGAATTCATTGTTGCTGTCTTTTTGGCTTGGTTAAGAGCAAGTAGGCACTAAAATAGAAAAAATATCCTCCTCAATATTATTAGACATTAAAGAATTTGATTGACTCTCTTTAAATTCATCATTTGAGGCCAGTTCATCATACTCCATATGTGCTTCCAAAATAGTGTGATGTTTTTTATCATCTGTAAAAATTTGCATGTCTTTAGTTCGAGGGTCAAAAAAGGCAGCAAGTTGAATTAATTGGGTTGGTTCTGAAAACCATGTTTGAATTGATTCAAGAAGATATTTTTCAAAATTTTTAACTTCAATATTAGGTATCAATACGTTATCTATTAATACATTATTAATTTTTGATTTAATATAATTAATCACAAACCAAGCTTGCGAAAGTGTTGAATACTGTAAACCAGATAATTGTGTCGAAATAATCTCATATGGATGCAATAGTTCAACTAACCCGCCTATTTTTTTTAACTCTTCAGATAACAGTTCTTTTTCCTTGTAGCTTTTTAATAAACCACTCTCATTAACTTCAACTAAAAAAGATTTATACCTATATAGCGCCGGTTTAAAAATAATTAATTGTTTTAACAAGTAAAACATCGAGTTCCAACGTGTTGAAACATCATGAACTACAGAAAGCAACCTATCCCAATCATCCATTGTTATCTGAGCTGTTAATAAAAACTGTTTTTGTTTCGGGCTTCCACTGAAATATGACACAATATCCTTGCATTTCTTTATAATATTGATAATTTCAGTGCATCTCTTTAACACATCATTGACTACAAGATTTAAAGTATGACCAAAGCAAAAATTTTTGAATATATTATACCTATTTTCTAACTTTCTTAAACATGACTTAATGTTCACACCATTATCAGCCGTGCAACACACAACTTTACTTATAAGCTAAAATTTGTTCAAAATTTCAATAATTTTGTTTGCAAGTCGCTTTGCTATATGGAGGTATGGGAGGTATGAAATCTCACCAACCATTTCTTGCACTTGAAAGTCTCCATTTACTCAATGAAATATAAGTCTAATATATGGATCATTGTTATCAGAAGTCTATATATCAGTGGTAAATAAGATGTAACAAATTTCATTGTCATCATGTTCATGTTCATGCATACTTTGCATAACTCTATCCTTAGCGTTGATCAAAATTTCTTTTAACTGATCTTTGCTTAAAACGCTAGCTTGAGAGTCCAGATCCTCTATTATTTTTATTAAAGTTTGTGATCTTAGGATTGAAAAGGGCTGGAGTTCTTCAACAATAAAAGCAGCAAGATTGCTGTTGAGTTTTTTTTGCTTTGGATAATTGAATGAATATTTTGCTGCTTTGCTAAATATCTCTACTAATATTCCTTGTGAGGATTCTGCCATAATATGAAATTCACACTTGTTCCCATCTTTTTTTTCTATTTTTACCCATTTACTTTCCACCATCGCTCTTGAAATGTGATGTTTGCTTCTCAAAGTCTCCATAAATTTGATGTAGTGCCATCTTTTTTGTATTTTGTTCGTGAATAGCTTTTGTGGCGACAAGCCCAATATTCTACATTATTAACTAATACTATCTTATAAAAAGGTTTAACAGGACTACCTCCTGATTTTTCGGCTCTTTTTTTATGCTGAATTGTAGATAACTGTGAAACCTCACTAAGATTCGAACTATCTGTTCTAGCTAGATAACTATTAGATTCTACTTCTATGTACTCTATTTCCAAACTGGTATTTTCTTCTGCCAACTCCAAGTTAGTATCTATATATTCTAACTCTATGTCATGATAATTATATTCTTCATTATTCCCTTCATTATTTTCATTGTAATACCCTTTATTATTCCCATCATAATACTCTTTGTTATTCTTATCATAATACCATTCATTATTTTCATCGCAATCCCCTTCATTACTTTCATTATAATACTTTTCGTTATTCATTAGTATGATTATTCATTTAGATGGTGTAAAACTGTATTTGTTCGATTCAGGCAGTTAGCTTTCTAAAGGTAATGAAATAGTATGAATAAATATCTCTTAACTACAAAAATTATAAAATGCAGAATAAAATAAAAATTTCAAGTTCTCATCACCTTTTTATTAATAAAAGTAAAAAAAATAATGTCACTAGCTTCTAATTCCAGATAAAAGGCCCAGAAGAACTTGTATCCGCTTTATTTTTTAGGTTGATTACAGTACTACATATGAAAAAAAAGTGTAAATGACAAAATTTGATCACAATGATTCGAAAAGAATTATATATATGCTTTTCAGATAATATGTATCATTTATTATACTCAAGGCTTGATCGTTCAAAAAGCCGCTGGAAATTAATAACAACTCTTTTAACATTTTAGGTCTCTCCGAAACACATATCTCTACCAAAGAAGAAAAATTTCTTAATAACTAAACCCCAAATTATAACAGTTTCTGGAGCTTATATGAACAACCACACCAGGCTGGTGTAGGAATCTTTATCTATTATCGAATAGCCAAACATGTTGCACGTACACACAACTATAAAGGCCATATTATTAGCTTTGATCTTCATTTCAAAAATCTATCACTTCAGCTATTACAAATTTATATTCTCACCTCTGAGAAAAAACAACTTCATAAAGAAGTCCAAGAACAAATTATTTTGCTTCTACAAAACCCATACTACAAAATCATAATCATAGGTGACCTTAATGGCATTTCTAATCCAAGAATAGATCGCTCTCCTCCCAAAAAAACATCTATACCCGAACTCCAACTTATTAAATACCTACAGAGT